TGTTTGGACTGTGTTAGAGATAGGTCTGACTGCCTCATGTGCCTGGCTCTAGTAAAGCAGCATCTTTCCAGAGCTTTGCTCCAACCTAGTCACAGGTCAGCATATTATGGTTGCTTTTAGCTGTTACATCTGATAAGTTAAGCAAGTCCAACCAGGTCAGCAGCTGATGGGTGACCTCAAAGGTCCACTGATTTGCTGTAGGGCATTTTTGATAACTCATTAGATGGCAAACTCTTAGCAGAGACAGAAATTAACCTCTATCCCACAGTGGTGGTAGTGAGGAGTTTTCAGCTGTAATTCTGGCTTTCAAATGAACTAAAGTTGAATCTCAGGCCATCTTGTATTAAAAAAAAAATATTAAAGCAAAAAAACCCCAACACCCAAATGCACTCGTGAAACTCAGCATAAAAATAAACACATCTGGCCATACTTAAATTCTTCTGCTGCCACTTCAGAGGAGAAGGGGAAAGTTATTAGGGCAATGTTGGAAGATGAAGGCACTAAATACCTACTACTATGCCTTTATACAGTCATGTGCTTGAAGTCTTTACCATCCCATATACTTACAAGGAGGGAATGTGATTTCTGACATTGGTGAATGGTTCCCAGCACATGAAGCAAAATGGACAAACACCTAATTTTATGTCTACAGATGGCCAGATGCTTTGATCTGTGAGATGATGCATCCACATAACCCAGTGGAGTCAGAGAGAGGGGAAGGGAGAGAAAAAAGGGAAGGCAGTTGCCAAAATTGGCATCCAGCCCCAGATCTTGAATGTGCTGGACCACCCTGAAAAGCATTCATATTGGTGTTTAGTAGTGTAATTATTAGATTGTTGGTCTATGTCCCAGCAAAGTATGCTATTTGTTATTCTTTAAAATATGATCAGACTAAATATGTTGTCAGTGTCATAAAAACTAAGCTAATATTGTTGCTATCTCTGAGCCAGAAGAGTGTTGGATTGTGCATTCCTTTTCCAGGGCTTGGCCCTGTAAGCTGTGCTTGTGCTGCTTTATTGTATCACAGAACTGCTGTGCAACGTTAAGGGCTGCCCTGGAGGCTGTCAGATATTACAAGAAGGAACACCATTCTCCCTGCCAGCATCTGTGACAGCTTTCCAGGAGAAAATAATTATTATATCACAGAAGTCCTATAGTGGGGGAAAAAAAACTTAAGAATTATTAGTCACTTCTTTCCTCACTAATAAAGCAGAGTTTGGCAAGAAAGAGAAGTATTCTGCACTTTCTTTACAGTCACCGAATCTTTTCTTATTTTCTCTTATTATTTTTCTTATTTTCTCTTATTTTTTGTAAAACTTACTGGAATAATTAGAATGCAAAATGAGTTGTGTATGTATTAGTTTCATTCCATAGACTTTTTATAGTCTAGATACTTTTATGGATCCTGTGACTGAAAATCCCAACAAATTCATTACCCTTGGCGTGCTGTTGCACATCTTTCAGACTGCACCCCATGGTTGCTGTTTTTGAGATTTCAGACCTCTCTCTTCAGGTCAGCAGGATCTGTGACAGCAACTTAATTGCTACATGCATTTGTGCTGTTCTTTGGCAATTTCGTTTCAGTTCCATGTCACTGTACCTATCTGCCTGGGGGTTGGTTTTGTGTGAAATATCAGTAAAAACAGGTAACAGCTACGCAAACAATGGTAGAGCAAAATCCCATTTAATTGCAAGGCAACTCATCTAAAAGGCAAGGGAAAGGGAATGTTTTAATTATATTTTAGCCGCCAGGAAGCAAAAGCAGAAATTATATTTCAAGAACTGTGGTGAAAGCTATTTACATTTATTATCTTTGAGGCCCATAACATCACATTAACGATTTTGTGTTTATATTGAGCTTTACCTTTTATTCTTTCTTTCCTTCCCCAAATTTCTGAATATTCACAAGCATTAATTTACCACTATTGCCTTATAACTATCTTGGGGTGCAAATGATGTTCAGAATTTAAAAACTTAATAATACTGTTTCTAAATGAAGTACTAGGGACAATTTAAACAATTTAGTGTAATTACTAAAACTAGAAATTGCCCAGAACTGCAAGTTTAACATACAGGTTATTAGATGATAAGGCTGTAAAATTTTAATGAGGACATATGGTCAGAAACTCAGTTGTATTTGGGATGGTGCATGTGGACAGGGGTGCATTCACATCACAGCATTATCAAATTTAGAACAAGGAGCTCCAGTTTTAACTCCTCAGCCTGAAGGTTCAGTAGCCAGTAAAGGCATCTAATTTCCACACAGGTCTGCTGTTTGGTACTGCAAGTATATTTTTTTCCATACTTTCCTTTTCTTTGTATTCTAAGGATTCAACTGGTTGTGACCATATTTCTTTTTTTTTTTATAAAAATGGTTGATGCACAAAATGTAACTTCATACATTACAGAAAGAACAGCCAGAATAACAGACATGCAGAGTGTGGGGAGGCAGTGAATTGTTGCCAGCTTTCATTTTGAAGGAACCCAGTCAACATAGGTCATGTTTTAATTGTGCCCTTTTATTTACAATCCCTCCTTTATGCTCCTTTCAGTGAAAAAGATCCTATTAGTTTCAGAGTCACTGGATCAGAATTTGGATGATTAGTGTTGTTAACCTGATGCAGAATACAGACTCTACCAGGCACAGTCAAGGAAAACTTCCTGATTTTGTTTCCATGGAGTTCTCTAATCTGTTGTACAGATATATAAACATGTTAGGTGGCTCTTCATAGATGGGCCAAAAAAAGTATTCCAAAGTATCCACAGATATTTTAATATGATTTTTTAAAAGTGGTTTATATTTGTATTTTTTATACATAGATATATTTTTTCAAATGCCATTGGGAGGACTTCACATTGAGTTTAATGCTGAAGAGGTGGATGACTAAAGTTGTTCCATGACCTTATGGAGCTGGAGTGTTTATAGAATTCAAAGAAAATTATTATTGGGTTGGAAGGCAGAGTGAAAGTTCTGCTCACGTGAGTGGCACTATAGCCCAGATTCATTAGGAAAGGGCATTAAAAGCTGACCTTTGAGGGATCCAGGATGGGAGACATCTGAGGAATTGATGAGACAGTAAAACACTAAGGTGCAATGTGCAGGCTTGGAATGAGGTCCAAATGTAAGTTGCTAAGAACCTCTGCAGTTTATTTAATATATAAATTAACATAGAATTACTCTGTTTGATTTGTTTGGCTTTTCACTGATCCTGCAGACTGAAGGCATATGAAGATCTTCCAGCCCTCTGGGGGCTTGAGAAATGGTTCCTTTTTTTAATCCTAAGCAGGTTTTTCTAGCAACACTAGAAAAACAGAACAAGCAAAAATCCCAACCCTCTAAACTTTGATGCTCTTTTCAAAGATGAATTAAACTTACCATCTTAGCTCAGTGTTGTAAGGCTGAGTCAGTAATGCCACAGCGACTTTTAGTGATTTAGATACTCCATTAGAACTTGTGCATGGAAGCAGAATATCAGTGTTTGAAGCAGTACTGGGAAGTTCCAGTGGACTGAGGATTCGCATTTTAGTGCTTCACCTCTCAGTTAATGTCCAGATGCTGAGCAATGGATTGACATTTTGGAGTGCTGAGACAGGAGCATATTTTTACAAACTGATGGTAGATCCCAGTCTTGACAGTTAATTTGTGATGTCTTGATCACAGCTTGTTACTGGGGTAACTGCAGACTGGGAAACAACAGGACAATGGATTTTGCCAGCTGAAGGAATACTCTTGACTAGTGACATTGGTTGGTTTGATATGTGTCTGGTTGGGTAGATTTTAAGTGTGTATTTCATCCTCTAGAGAAACAAGTAACTAAACTTACCAGATTTTAAAAACCGCAGCTGTTTGGTTGACGTTGCTTTTTCACATTCCATCTGTATAAACCTAAATATTTAGGTAAAAGCAATATGCAAACTTGTGTAGCTGAGTTTTCCCTTTTTCTTCTTTTTTTCCCTTGATGAATGTGAGGGAAGATAACAATTCACCTTTTTTCCACTCCATTAAAATCACATTCCAAGCAGTCTTCAGAAATCAGTACAGCAACATTATTTTCCAAGCTAATGGATGCTTTATTTCAAATGCTTGAGCAAATGTTACTGTGTATTCATGTATGCACACTTTTGCAAATTAAATAATACATCTGTGATTTCAATTCAGTTTTTTCCTTTCTATTCTGCTGACTTCACATACAGATTGAATGGGGAATATAGTGTATCCTAATTGTTTCTCACCTTTCAAAATTCGTGGTTTGAAATTCAGTAAGTTTTTAAGGCATGTTCATTGATTTCTCATTTCCCACTAACGAACCAAATCTGCAGCTTTAAAATGTACTTGGGCTGCCTGTGCTTGTAGGGATTGATAGATGGGGATGCTTTAAACAGAAGAATTTCAACATCAAGGATTTGCTTTGTAGTTTATTTTCAATAGGAATAAAAGCTAATTGGGTAAATGTTGTGAAACGTGGGCTCATTGTTTTCCTAATAACAATTAGTGTTATTTGTCATGAGATTTTGGTTTTGTGTGTAGATCATAATTCAAGTGTGAAATAAAAGGTATTTCACTTTCTGTTCCAACATGGAAACTTTCGGATTTAGTGCGAATGATCTTATCAAGTTGAAAGCTAAAAAAATATAAAGTGTTTCCATGAGACATTCCATGCACTTAGGAAAGGTAAATTAAATAAATAATCTGTTGTTAGATTGACTTATTTATGTTCTCTAGAACAAGTGATGCAGTAGTTCAAGACAGATGGTCTAATAAGCAATTTTAAATTATCCAAAAAATGTACCTGTGTCTCTGCTTCATTTTAACATTTGTTATTTAAGCAAATAATTTATTTTGAATCATTTGTTTGACAAAGGAAAATAAAAATATTCTACAATAATTTACTGTCAATAGATTTTTGGGTATTGAAGGACCTGAAGATGATAGAGTTCAAGGGATTCTACTTAGATAAAATTATTTTTCTTTGTGTGTGTTGTTTGTTTTTTATTTCCAGACCCAGCCATTGTAAATGGAGTTTATTGGTCAGAATCTTTAAATAAGGTGTTTGTTGACAATTTTGATCGTGACCCTTCTCTCATCTGGCAGTACTTTGGAAGTGCAAAAGGATTTTTCAGGCAATATCCAGGTAAGAAGTACAGAAGTTCTTACTTAAAATACAATAAAGAATGCTACGGTTGAAAATTTCCACTGAGTATTGTCACAAATCCTGACTTCAACAGATATCTGCAGGTTTGGTTTTACTTTATCTAGTTTTCAGAGAAACAGATTTCTAATCAACATTTTCAACGTTCTGAGGTTTTTCTACCAATTTTCATTTTTGGGGTGAAGCCCTCATGATAACTCATGTGCTCATAAATATTCCTATTCAGGTAGGCACATACACACACATTAAAAATATCTTATAAACAGACTGGGAAGAAGGAGGGCAAAAGGATTAGACCCTTCATACAGGAGTGAATTTAAATGAAGTGCTCTATCAATGCATACAGTTAAACTTCATTATAATTTGTTGTGCAGCTTTTAGGCTTCCACTTAACCCAACATATTTACATTTAAAGACTTAACTTGTTTTAAAGTTTATTTTCTCACCCTTTGTAATAAATGTAATTACATCACTTGTATTATTTCCATTGAAATAGGTTAAAACCTATTAGGGTTTATGTTTAATCCCATACCAAATTTACCACATTATAATAAACTATAAGGTCAAATTAACTGGTTCTCAGCTTCTGTAACTTTGGACCAGGCCCACAGTGGGAACTGTTCCTTTAGCTGACGTGGTTTAGCAACCCATGTTTTTTTAAGTCTCGTGTTTAAACAAGTTTACTGTAAGCCTGTACGCCTGCAAGTGCCTGAAAGCAATGGCTGCTACATCTGTGTTAGTTTTAGATTGTGTTTCAGTTCCCAAACTCCATGATATTCCAAGGGTAGAAGAAACATCAGTCCTTGTTTTAGAGGCTATTTCTTGTTTTGTGCTAGAAAAAGAGTATAAAAAAAAAAAAAAAAAGGAAGAATTACTCTGTTGATTTTTTTTTTCTTGGAAATGTTTCTATCGTATTTCTTTTGACCTACAACCAGGAGATATTACCCCTTCTCAGTGATGTGAGCGAAACATCAGGAGTATGAGATGTGAGTGGAGCAGTTGGTGTAACAGGACCTGCTGAGATCAGCCGTGGGTAGGAAGTGCTCAGGGTTTGGAAGGGACTTGATAAAGCTTGCCAACACCAAAGGCCAAGCATGGAGACACTTCTGTGAAAGTAGTACAATGGACAGAGTAGGCCTTCAGAGGTTTTCACCTTCAGAGGCTAAAAAAGGAGTGAGGAAAAAAAAAAAAGATTATTTCTGGTGGTCTTATTTTATGAATTTTATTTTTTCCCCGGTATTTCCTATGGTATAATGGCTCTGCCTGTTAAAGTATGAAACTCCATTAACCCCTACTTAGCCCCAATACCACAGATACATTATGAACAGGTACCGTGGAAATGTAATTTTATCTTGATTATTCTCTTTTTTAAACAGGAATTAAATGGGAACCTGATGAGAATGGAGTCATTGCATTTGACTGCAGAAACAGAAAATGGTAGGCAAGAGATGACCATCAGTATTTAAGAAATTTGAAACGATAAAAAGTTCATATTTAAAAGGAGTTGTTTTGTCTTGTGCCTCAGGTACATCCAGGCAGCAACTTCTCCAAAAGATGTGGTAATTTTAGTGGATGTCAGCGGCAGTATGAAAGGGCTTCGCTTGACTATTGCAAAACAGACAGTTTCATCTATTTTGGATACCCTTGGAGACGATGACTTCTTCAATATAATTGCTGTGAGTGTCTCAGGATTTCTTTCTGTTTTTTTTTTTTTTTTCCTTCCATCATTTCTTGCTATCTGTTACATTTTACATCACACAAGCCACTTGAAAAATGCTGCAGACAGGTGATGGATAATGTGACACCTGAACCCACTGGACAGACACTGTGTTTTTCCAGTGCAAGATTCTTCAGATGACAGAGATTTCAGACTGCCTGTCCATTACTTGCAATTTGAAATCCCTTAAACAAGTTGTCTTGATTTTGGGGGTTGTAATATGTGGGGGTTTTTAGTTTGCTTGAACTTCCTATATGACCTTAATTTTTAAATTCCTTGTGTTTCTGTGTTCTCTTTGCCTTCTACCCATCTCCCCCTTCAGCTACTGCAGTACAGTGCAAATTTAGAAGTGATTAATATGTGAGAATTAATAGATTCAGATCCAGCTTTTGCTGAAGCCTGTATGACATGACAAAATGCCAGCATAGCTCCTCAATGCTCATGTTTTCCTCAGTGAGAATCTGAAATGTGTAAGTTGTGCAGAGGAGTTGCTGGTGAATTACTAATTTTTGCTTTGCTGATATTATTTTGCTAATACTTTAAAAATAAATAGTTTTATCAAGTGCGTAAATCCTAAAAATGACTTCTTGAATGTAAGGAGGATTTTGACTTTTTTTTTTTGCTAAAAGGGAAGTACCTTTCATGTGCTGAAATAAATGAGCCCAGTGACACCAGCGCAAATTGAGATTCTATGGAGAATGAACTATGTATATGTGCATATACCGTGTTTTTAGCAGATAGGAAGCAGTTCAGAATATCTTTTGTATTAATCTCCTTGCATGATAATTTCATAATTGGCAGAAACTCATGCAGTATAAAGACATAATTACACACTGTATCAAAAAAAGGTTTACTGTCCTTCAAAAAGTTGTGATTAGCTGTAATCTAAATAACTTCTGCAAGTTGAAAGCGTGTTTCAACTAAGTAATTATTAAGATACCTGACCAGCCATTTTTTGGTGTATAATCTCTGTGTTTATCAGTATTTGTGATAGTTACTGTGAAGGATGTAGGAAGAAAAAAGAAATGTGTTTTTTTAAGTTAAGTTTCTTATGTACATAGCTTGAATCCAAACTAATGATTTTGCCTATGCACAACAGCAAAAATACTGTGTAAATACTTTTTAGAAAGCAAGTATGAAAAAACTAATTGCCATTTTTTCCAATTTAAAATTTAATTGAAAGTGAACTTAACTGTGTGTAAAGCAGCATGGAGTCACAGAATTGTAACATAAGTTATTGCCAATGACACGAACTTCTGATCAGTGATTTGGGTGTTGAGAAAAGAAAGGAAACTCCTAACTGAGCCTTTCCTCTCTGTTTCCCAGGCTGTCTGCTGTCCAAAACCCCACTCTGTGCCCTGGTCCCATCACTTTTGTTGCCATTTCAATCCCTCCCTTCTCCTGGCTGAGGTGCAGGAGCACCTGAGGCAGCTGGTCCTATTTTGGTTTCCATCAGCAGTTCTGAGCTCAGCAGTTTCTCTCTGTCCCTCCTCACTGCTCATTGCTTCTGCTGTCTCTGCTCTTCTTTTTTCTCTTCAGTGGGTTGCCCATGGCTGTGGTCCCTCAGGGTTGTCCCCACTCCAGTGTGGGTCACCTGCAGCCCACGGTGTCCAGCAGCACACCCCTTTCACCGTGACGCTTTTCCAACTGTCTTTCCAAATGTTTCCATCCCCTAATGACTCCATCCATGTACTGCCTGTGCAAAGGCACCACAGCCCCCAGTCTGCTGTTGCCACTGCCCTTTGGGCACCCTGCAGGTTGCCCCAGCTAGAGTTGGTGGTGATTGGCACTGGCTATGATGGGCACAGGGCAGTTCATGGCCCTCTCCCACAAAGGCTCTGTAGGTTCTCTCCTCTATAACCTCTTCTAGGATGGATGTGTGTTTGTTGAAATAACTAGAAATAGTGACAGAGAATTGTTTTTATGCTTACCAGCTCAGCTGTTTAATTTCATTAAGACATTGATGGTTTAGTGATTCTGCAAATATGGACCTAAAATTATTCACTGCATTGAAAGAGGTACCACATAAATACAGGGGGAACAAGGAAGAGTGGCAGTGAGGGGGTAAAGTGCTGTCCTGCTGCCTTGGAGTTCTCCTGCGGGAAGAATTTATTAGGGAGTCATTTTGGACTAAGTCAAAGAATCACAGAATATGTTGAGTTGGAAGGGTCACTGAGTCCAACTCCTGGCCCCGCATAGGACACCCCAAGAATCACACCTGGTGCTTGACTGTGTTGTCCAAATGCTCCTTGAACTTTGTCAGGCTTGGTGTTGTAACCACTTCCATGGGGAGCCTGTACCAGTGCCCAACCACCCTCTGGGTGAAAAACTCTTTCCTGATATCTAACCTGAACCTCCCAGCCTCATGCATGACAAACTTCATGCTTTGCTGTCTCACAAGGCAAAAAAAATAACAGTAATGTAAAGAAACCTCAAAATTCCTTTGCTTGAAAATGTAACTAATTAGCAACAGAGATCTGTGCTGTGGACAATGGAGTGAACCTTTCAATGAGGAAGAGCACAGGTAGGCTGAGGCTGAATCATGAATTCCTTTCAAAATGTGTGTAAAATACATAGTGAGGGTACAAAGTAAACCAGAGTTGCTGTGACCCACATTAACAGCAAAAATTACCTCTGAAGCATTGCTTTGACCAAGTGCCAGCAGGGCAAATGAATTCTGTCAAGACTGAAGATGTTTCAGTGATCAAAACACGAGACAACAAAGCCCACACAAAGGGTTGCTTGGTGTGAAAGCCCTGAAAATTCCATACAGCTTTTATCTATAGACAGATGTTTGAGTGAGATTATATCTTACTCTTTGTAATTTCGACACGGCCTGGTGATGTGACAGCAGTTCCATTTGAAGGTAAAATACACACATGTCCATATAAGAAATCCCCTTTGTAACGTAGCTCTGTGCTCGTACAACCAGGCTCTGTATCTAGAACTGGCCAGCTGTGCAGTGTGTGCAAAAACAGATCCTCTGTGCCCAGATGGTGAAGCCTTGCTCTTCACACAGCACGCAGCTCAGACTGATTGCTCTGAAAGACCTGTCCAAATTGTTGCTCTGTGGGGACTGCTTGGACATCTGGAAGTCTCAGACAAATGGCCAAGTACCTCCTTCTTTTCCCAGACCAAACTCTGAGTTGGAATAAGTGTTATTATTGTGGGAAATCTGGACAAACAATGTAGTTATTAGATGAAGCAAAAGTCTTGAGCCTGAGTGACTGTGACTGTCAGGGTGCCTTTATTATGCGTAGTGACTAATGGAAGAAATATTTGTATGCATCTGTGTACATATGCATACATATATATATATGTATTTACAGCAGAAAACAGAATTCAGTACAGGTCTTTCCAGAGAATAAACATAAAAGGATGATGTTAAAATAATTTTAGCTTTCCTAGGTAAGTTGTTTCAAAATCCATCTGAAATTGATGGACTAGATGATTGAATTGCAAAAAATTATTGAAACACAAGAATGATTTTGTGCTGCCTGTGTTAAAATTTGAGGTCAGTTTTTTGGTGCGTGAACAGAGATGCCTGCAACAACAAGAGAAAAGGCATATTTTTCCCATTTGCTTTGAAGTGTAATTCCAAGTCAAGCATTAAACTAACAATATTATCATAAAAGAAGTATTAATTTTGCCGAATGCTGAAATTTTTAAACGCTTTTATAAAAATGCAAACTCCCCATTAAATTAGCAAAATATTAACTGAGCCAAGAATGTTAATTTTACTGCTTTAGTCACACCATTTTAGAAAAACTGATTAGAATAAAAGTATTTGTTAATTCAAAGCACAGTAGTATAGTTCTGGATTCATATATGGATTAATATGTAGCACTTTTCCATCATAAATGGTTTCAGCATTATCTCAGTTTTTTAGTCCTACAGAATAGACTGTGGATAAACTTACTTTTTACCCTGCCTGAGTAATGAGATTCTGCTCAGGTAATGTGTGAATAGGCTGGAAAAGGGAACAGCAGCCCACAGGAACCTCTCTACGATCCCTCCTAGCAGTGGGCTCTGCTCGTGTGCCACTTGTAGCCCATGGTAACACCAGTGGAAATACAAATTCCTTTGGTTCCTTTTCTGGATTGGCTTCACTGTTGGATCTTATGTTGGGCTGTATTGGATATCTGAGTATGCTTAATATAGCAGGAAACCTTTTACCTGTGTGTTGTTGCACAAAAAAAGGTGAAATCCATTTATTTCTTGGACCTTACTCCAGACAGCTTAAATATGACAAAGGATAAATATGAAAAAAGCTAAGGGAAATGTATACTACTTGTGCAAGTGTGCTAGAACCATACATGCATCTCACTTGTGCTGTCTCTGTGATAATAAACATTTTTATTTATCCATTTTTGAATGAGGTTGCTTGTGTAAAATAGGGCTGTGATGGCACTTAAAGCATGTCCTCTGTGAAAGCTTGAGCATCCTTTATCCTGCACTACTGAGTAACACTAAAGGCATTGTTGGAAACTACTGGGAATCTCTCTGGGATGTGGTGCAGCTGGCATCCGTGGAAGCTAAGTGCCTGTGGGAATAGCCTGATGATATGAGTTACTCAAAATAGTAGTTAAAATAAATCTTATAAAAATCTAGTGGACAGAAATTATACTACTTAGATGCAAGGTCTGATAGAATAGGAAGTTGTTTCATCTATCTGCTGGTGGTGATAGACCTGTAAAAAAAATGTGGTGGTACTACAGCATTAGGAAATCTCGAGTTTGCTTTTGTGCAGGTGTTTGAAACTGAACCACTGACTGAGGGAAAGGTAGAAATTTTACTGCCTGTTGGCCAAATGCAGACACTGTGCTTGAGGTCATATAAAGAAATGTGTAATGACAGCTACAGAAATCAAGCTAAGAACAGGCTTAGCTGGAAAGTGTCCTGATTGAAGAACATGCTGAGAAAAACTCTGTGTGAGGACAGGAAAAGGCCTGGGAGAAGGGGCTGGTGTACCAGAGTCTGTTATAGACTTTCAGTACTTTTTTTTACAATAGATTGGAGTATAGTCTTGCCTTTGGACTATAATAAGAGATGCTGTGTAGATTTGGCATTATTATTTTGCAAAGACTCTCAGGAGATAGATTTGAAGTCAGTCTGAAGAGAGAAACTACAGGGCAAAGTACATCATTTATCAGATCAATAAACTGTTACGAGACTGAGATGCATGTGGGACACTCTCAGTGACTCTGAAGTGTTCTAGAAACCTTTGCCTTGTATTTTGTATTACCTTTGGAACAATAGATATGTCCACACACTCTCATTTATTGAAATAACATTGATGGGAATAAAATAATTAGGGAAGCATGCAAATCCACAGCAAAAATTGTGTAAATATCTTTCAAGCATTTTTCCTTGTTTCTCTACAACCAGTTACTATGTTGATGCTGTTGTAAATCATCTGTATATCCAGCAATAATAATTTGCTCTGGGTTTATATTTCCTTATAACTGAGGATTGAGTCTGGCACAGTGCCTCAAAAATAACTTCATGCAGTTCAAATTAAATACTCTTCCCTGTGCAGGAGTAATTATGTAATGATGAGCGTGGTGAGTAGAGCACAGTTAAAATGAGTGGTGATGACAGGTGTCCAAGGTGGCTCAGGTTGCAGGGGTTTATGGTGTAGAGAAAAGAGTGATGTTACATTGAGTAGAGTAGAATAAACTTGGAGCTACAGGCAGAGACAGCGAGAACTTGCAGTGACAGAGAGCCCTGTGTAAGCAACGTCTGTGATGAGTCATTCATTGCAAGGCTTTTCTTATTCCCAATGAGGTGGAGGAAGAAGGGATTAAATGCATGTATTAACCTAAAAAAATAGATTCAAATGAAATATAGTCTAATGAAATATTTTTCCTGATTATTTTTGACTTGACTTATTGCGTTGTCTTTTTTTTGTTTACTGTGGATATTTTGACTCAATGCCTTGTGAGAGGGTGAAACTTCTTAAAGCCTGGATGCAAAGCCAGTTTGATCTGTGATAACTTCTAAAGTGGATTAAATTAATGAGAGTAGGAATTAAGTTAAGGCCGTACCTAGACAACTGTATGTAGGCTCATTGAGGGTACTGCTTTAATAATTTGACCTGTATTGAAAGGTTTCAAAGATTTAAACAATCAAGTCCAAATTTTGATCAGGCATCCATTAGTCTGCAAGGTCTACTGACTGCAGATGAGACTTCTTTTTTTTTTTTTTTTAATGCTTAAGTTGCTTCTGAAAGTAGGACTGGACTATCTAACTTACTTAGACCTTGCAAGACAAGCACATAATTCCTTCAAAGTCTGTCACATTTTCATGACTTAGTGTATAGTAAGCCCCTCTGCTTGACTGAAATTCTGACAATTGTCAAATATTCCCAGGATTGATTCAAGCTTACAGATTTTTTTGGTGCGTTTGTTAGAGTATTAACCTTCCAAAATGTTAGCCAGTGCCACAAATATTTGTCAGGACTTTTTTTTTAATATGTAGCAAAGAATTGGGAGTTTTGAGTGTGTTATATCAAACATGACTTATTATAATATCCAGATTAGTAATCAAAGGATATTTTTGCCAGCTACTGTATATAGTACCTTTAACTCCACCTGAGTGTTGGCATCCATTCAATTAAATATTTCTTCAGGAATATACACCTCTGAAGAATTAAGAATCACGTAAAAGGAAAAAAACCCACAGCCAGTTTTTTAAAATGAGCAAAATCCTTTTGTTCTTGCTTTCTCTGCACGTTTCACTGCAGTTCTAAGTCGTTGAATTATATTGTATCTTCCAAGCTTTTAATTAAATTTTTCATCATACTTTGTATTTCTCTCTATAGTATAATGAAGAACTCCACTATGTAGAGCCGTGTTTGAATGGAACATTAGTTCAAGCAGACAGAGCCAACAAAGAGGTAAGGAATGAAAGTAACAAAACAGTGGAGAGATAGGATGCAGTGTGTAAAAATGTGCCATAATGATCTTTTCCCGGGACAATGCATTCCATTATTAGAAGTTATTAATTATTCTCCTCATGCAATTTCAAAGGAGTTTTATGCGACTCAGTAGGAAGAAGAAGAAATAACCTTCTAGTCAGTTTGGTTGAATTAACTTAATGGAAAAATACAGAAATCACTGAAAATATACTGTTAATAAAGTTTGGTAATTATTTTAAGTAAAATATTTCAGCTGCTTTAAATTGAACTATCATTCTATTACGGAAAATTACTGAGGAAGAGATTGCATCCTTAAATCAAACACTGAAGCTTAAACAAAATCTCAAAACAAATGGTCAGAAATATAGTATTATACAAATAAAAGAATTTAGCTTTCTAAACAGGTCTGTCAGTGTAATAATGCACTCATTCAAGAATGTTCTGTGAAAATGTTCAAATTAGTTACGTCCTGATGGAATTTTTCAGGAAAAAAACTTGCAATGATTTCAGTGAAACTTTCATTTGATGAAAGATCTCAGATTGAATCTGAAACTTGAAGCTTAGTTTATTACCTGCCATCCAAATGCAGTTTTTCTCTGCAGGCATTACTTTGACACACTTAGGAAGGTAAGGTAAGATTGTTTATGCCATGCAAAATTATAAAATAAGGCAGCTGAAAAGTCCTGTGATTCTTGCAGAGGGAAAGACCTGTAAGCCTTAAGCCAATAAGCCACTTGTGTTATTGTAGAACTTCCTCCCTGCTAAGGCTTCCTCTCCTCTTAAAGTGATTGGTTCACCTACACTGAGTCTTGCTTGTGGCTGGAGAGGGCAGCAGTTGTGCATCTTTCTTTACATAGTTCTCTATTTTTATCAGAGGCAAATAAGAAGAGTTTCAGCTCAGCATTGAATTATGTTTAACATCCAGTGTGGTGGCTCATTTTTGCTGATGTTGCCAATGAGATGTTACAGGAAGTAGAAAACACAGCTCAGAAAGCACACTGAGCGGTGTCAGTGCTGGGTCTATTTATGTATACCAAGACAAAATGATTTTGGTCCTGTTTTGTTGATCTTTACTCCATAGTATTATTCACAAGAGTTCTTTGCATTTTACCTGCATGTACACCCACATTCTATGGAAATTATTCTTCATGGGCTGCTTCCTTGGTATACTCGATATTTCCCGCTGTAGTTATCTAAATATCATTTGGTTACTATGTGGAATGAATTGTTTCTAACAATTTGGTGTTGAAGTCTTGTGTGAACTGTGATGCAGTTTTCTAAATGAGCTCTTTATTGTGGGTGCCTCTAATGAGCCATATGAAATCTGTGCAAGTTCTAGACACAAACTTAAAGAATCAAATGTATTGCCCAGATGTCCTGTCTGGAATTAATCCTACTGTTAACCTTTCCATCACTCTGCAACTGATCAAAATGCAGATTATCATGCATCCATATGTTACTTAATGTCAGATTCATTTTAATTGATCAAAAAGTTTTTATGCCACCCAGATGATGCTCAGATTTTATGAACAGCGCTCAATTGAACAGTGCTCAATTGTTCAAAATAACTAAGTACAATTTCATATTTTATTATTGAGAGCACTCTTTGAAATAATTTCTTGTTCTCTAAATTATTTTATTTATTTATGGAATAGCTCTGTGCTTTATTTTGCCTGTAAATTGAATAATATATACAAGGTGTTTGGGGGAATAATTAAATATGAACTTCTTTTCTAGTTACTCATATCAGTGAGGTAGCTGATGTACTTTCACTGAAAGATCAGAACTAGAGAATAAACTTCAGATAGGTAGCATTTAATTGTTCTGTGTATTTGTATATGACAAAACTTTGTCAATCTTCATTTCTTTCTTATGTGAGCTTATATGTTATTATTGTTTTCTGGTTAGTGTAATTTACACTAAGGTGGGGCTGGATATGGGGAGAGACCAGTTCCACTGATTTTGGGAGAGCCAGGTGAGGTGTTTGCTTCTGCTGAGAGGGTCCCATGTGCCAGCACAGACTGCCCTGCTGATCCTGAGCCCCCTCCAAGCCTCAGCCTGGCTTTCCAAGGCTCAGACCTTGTGAACTCTGTGTTTGCCACCCCCAGCAGCCTCCTGCCCCAGGCACTTGGGCTGCAGCCAGAGCCTGTTCTGTTCCATGCACAACCTGCCTAGGTAAGATGAAACCTGGGAGCATCTTCAGGGAATGGAGCAGAAGGATATTTTTTGGTAGGCTACAGGAAACAGCTTCAGCCTCAGGGCTTGTAGCAGCCTGGGAAATGAGTGTTTCTCAATGGTGTTGGTGCTGAATGTTCGATGGGATTACGGGCAGCAAATGAACACACTCTTTCACATTCAAGGATGGGTTGTAGAAATTCTTATCCATAATGTGTAGGGAATGTAACAGGCTTCCAGAGAGCCAGACTTTCAGAAAATCCAATTAGTCTTAAGGAAAAAAAAAAAAAAAAAAAAAGATATCTGGTGCCTGGTTTCCACATTTTCTCAGTGAAATTGTCATTTTGCTCCCCTCCACATCTCTTCACTTTTTGGGATGGAATCAGTATTGTAAACACAGTGTTAATTCCACACATTGGCTCTAGACCACTTACCATTATTTTCTGGACCACAGTGTGGGAAATAATTACTTAAAAGAAAAAAATCCACTCTCATTAAAGTATGAAAAAGCATTTAAAGCATTGTAGCCCTCTTATATCCACTCTGTGAGTAATGTATCTTAGTTTTCTGTTCGAAGCATAAGGAAAGATATTATAAAACCCACTTCCACCCTTCTCCCCTTGCCCCTTCATTTTTCTCCATCTTTCGGGTAAGAACATACACCTGCTACTTGAGTAAATCTGTACAAAGGGCACACAGAGCAAGGAATTTGCATTTCTCTTTAAATGACATTGCAGGAATTATTGATGAAGCTGCATTGTTTGCTTCTTTTCCTCTGTATTCCAGTTGCAACTTTACTTAAATTAAGAGTTAAGATTCAACTGGAATCTCTAGACTGAACTCTCTTCTTACAGCTAGAGTAATAAGGGATGAAAAGTTAGGTATACTTTTTAGTTTATGTGATATGAATTAGCCAAGGTAGCCAAAGATTCTTGATCCTGGTACAGGTTTTATAGGGATGGGTGTAGTGAAGGCAAGAATTTGTTTTTAAGCAACTAAGCCTCCTCTTACCCATTATGGGTTACTTGATCAAGACCACTCCTTCATTAGAGCATTAATAAATATCTGTCTGGTGTATTTCAGTAATTTTTTAAGGGATATCAGATAAATGTAATATAATTAAGCTTTTTAATGTTTTTATGTAATTTTATTATGGGAAGGGAATGAAGATTGGGGAAAACAGGTTGTCAGCCCTTAATCTCCAGAATGCTGATCACGTAACAAGCTTTTCTTTAAGAACATGTGAGGGTTCTAAGCATCTAAACCTGTTCCCAACCAGCTTAAAGGAGAGCCAAGTAACTCAGTCTTGAGATTTTTTGTTTGTTTGTTTGTTTGTTTTTTGTTTGTTTTTGTTTTTTGGTTTTTTTTTTATTCTACTAGCAGCAACCTACAAGGAAGAGATGCTAACATAATTAGTGTAAAATGTTTAGAAATTTCCGCAGGTTTTGATCAAGGTGTTTTATGACTTTTCTGCAAAACTCTTGATTCTGTAAGTGCTTGTTGTGTGTAACTTTCAGGCCAGGATTTAATTGCAGCTTGAATTTCTGTCAGATACAGCTGCAAAAAACATCCTCTTTTTTGGAAACCTTATTGAATGAAGGAAGTTTGTCTTTTATAAATAAAAGACAAAGTTGCAATTTCAAATATGACAGTGATGTGAGTGGTGTTAATATGTGCTACCACTTTTACTAAGATACAAAGTAGGCATCCCATTTCTTCCAAGATAGAGTGTTTCAGCTTTCATTTTACAATAGGGAAATATAGAAGTTTGTTTTAAGAATAATTATAATGTCAGGTGATATGGCAGGTGTCATGGTTTCTCCACTTACTTCTAAGTTTTTACAGGCTAGCAATTGTCATAAATTTCTGTGGTGGCACATACCTGCCCTGAAGGTTCAGTTTAGATATGTGGATACTGTAAGCTATCCCTAATTTGCAGATCTTGCTTGAAGTTTCATTTATCACAGGAATTAAATCTGTAATTACATTGGGTAGCATAACTGAGGTGGAAATTAATCCGTGAACCTAAATGTGGTTTAGTAATATAAAATATGTAAGGTATATTCGAATTTTACCAGACTATTTTATAATTTGGCATTAGCACTAAACAGCTGCTGCCTTGAAGTATATCAATTTGCTATACACAAATTTAAAAAAGAGTGGGAAATAGTTCAGACACTATTCTGTCACCGTCTGCACTTTCTCCACAAATTACAAACATGTGGAACTGCCTATTTTAATACCAGTTTTCTTGGGCCAAGAGGTTTTCATCTTTGAGAAACTCCATGTTACAATTTACCTACCCCAAAGGAATCGGATGACAATCTGATTTAATGTAACTCCAGATTTAAAGTAACAATATTACAATATACATTCCTCTTTTATATGTTTTTTTAATGTACTATATATGGGTTGAGGACATTTCTCTGTAAACGTTTCCAGATGAAATATATCATCTTCTAGATGCACAGATAGGCACAGTAACTCCAAACTAAATCAAGAACTTACCCCAGTGTAAATTCGAATGACAAAAATAGACAGATGTAGTGTATAACTTCCAAAGGGATTTTATTTTTCTATGCAATTACCAGAAATTAAATAACCAGAAGACTGATTCAGCAAAGAAGCTGAGTGAAATTGCCAATAAGAGGTTGGTAAACACAAATTTTGCATATTGAATTTTATTTAAGCAAATTACTTTTCCATATTTATCCATCCATGTCTGTCAGATCTCAAGAAAAGGTTGTCAACAGCATTGCTTGGCTGTTAAAAAACCCAAAACAGTGAAGTATCACTGAAGTCTACTCTTTTTTTAAAACTGTCTAGCCATTATAGACTTCCAAATCTTTCAGTTAGCCCCAGAGCACTGAAATTTGGTCCCAAGTTTTCTATTGCAGCTACTAATTTACTTAAGGAGAATTTATTTTTAATGTGAGTATATTGAATCTTGAAGTCTTTGGTTCAGGATTGTTTTTATGAAAAAAAAAAAAAAAAATCCTGTTTTCCAACACAACACATTAGGAAGCAGAAGCAGTTGGATAATTAGGAGCTAACCTGGAATTGCCCTGGCAATGGATTTTACATGGAATGATGCTTAAATGCATTTTGCAGATGTGATGAACATTCCTCTGTTAGTACATGTGGGTAAACTTGCCTGTGACACACCAGTAAATACCACTCTCCCACCTCACACATGCCTCCTGATTTTGTTTTTTCTTTCCTGCTTTATATGCCGATGTATTCTATCCACAAATCTGATAAATCTTTGCCAAGTATGTCTCAGGAACAGTTGGAGTTACAGCATGCACGGATGAGTATGGGAACTGATAGCAAAGACTTGCAGTAAAACTGACAAAGAAATCTGCAGCAATGTTGGACCCATCAATGATGCTTTTCTTTAGGAAGCTCCCCCTTTTTAGACAACTAATGGCAAATATCATGATTTTCCAATGTAACTGTATAATCTCTGTTGCACATATCAGTTGTGAACTGTTCCCTCTTTTGGATCAGTGGAAAGTACTTTATTCATAGACTTGAATCCATGGTCCTGTAACCCCATCTAATTTGGCTATTCTTACTCATCATAAGTGGTACCTTATTTTTTGTAATTATAAATAGGCTCTAATAAAATGTGTCTTAAGCAGAAAGACACAGCAGGTGTGAGAATATGATTTTTCATCTTGGGAAAAACACTATCAGTATCCCCCATTCAGTAAACCCCTTTCTGCTTCAAATGGGTGTTTTGTAACTGCCCCTAGGACGGGAACCCATTTCCTGATTCCAGGCCCATTGGATGGATTTGTTGATTTGTTTTTGACTTAGAGGGTCCTAACAAAGTGACACTATGTAAAAAGGAAAGGAGAGAAGCAAATCAAAGAGATTTGCATACATGGATTCTTACCAGATGTTGGACTCACTGGAACTTTGTGGTTCTGACAGTGGACAGCGTTTAGAAGCAAAGGGCAGCACACACGGGTACGAGACCAGGAGTGTGCGTTGCTGGTGTTCTAGTTTGAAACCTTGTAGGTACGTGCAAAGAATTGTCCTGGCTGACATGCACAAGTGGATTTATATCCTCATTCTCTTCATCTCATGTTTTTCAGACACTTCATCATCATCAATACCTCTACATCTGAACGTGTCTGTGCTTCCTCACTGCAATAAGACAGAACTTCTGCTGAGCTCTGACCCTATAATTTTGTAATCAGACATCAGCGGCTGATTGTCATAATTGTGTACCTAATTTGCATTCAGAATTACCAAGACTATGCATGTCAATTAGGTATATGAGTCCACAATTAGATATTGCACATTCTGGTATTGCACATGGAAATTAAGCATACAGTTGCCTGGTAATTGTGCCCACAGTTGGACAAATATTCAGGTCAGACTCGAGAAAATTCAGATATTAGTCTGTAAGGGCTCCAGTAGGATATTAAAGAGAAGCTGAGATGAACGAACATTGTGCAGTTTATTACTAAAAAGAACTCTTAAGGTGTAAAGTTTAAAATACGCTTTTTGACTCATTAAGAGCAGGGCACTCCTGGATTTGGGGATCTGTTTGATTCCTGAAAGTTATTGAAAGTGGAATTGAGGTGTATTTTATCTTATTCTGAAATCCCTCGTTCTTCAAACTGATGTTTTAGTGGTTAATGTCCTGCCCTGACATTTTTTCACTGCTATTAGGACTGGAATACACTTTTCTGTTTTGCAGTGCTTTTGTAACAGAAGAAATTACTGAGTGGGAGTTTGGAGACGTGTGGGCAAGCTATAGAGAAATTTTGAGAAGAATATTAGTTTGAAACTTTGCTTTTCTCACACACAAATAATGCAATGCTTTTTAAAATGCCTTTTCCAGTACCAAATAAGACACTATAACATGACTGGCAGAGCATTGTTGTACTGCCTGGATGTGTCTGAAATGGGGGAAAAAAAAGTGTTTGAAATTTGGAGCTTTTCCCCTTACAGATTTTCCTTAAAACAGCAGCCTGACAGATTACAGTTGTGTTGATAGTTCGCCCTTTGAAGTCACAATAAGGTACCACTCTTTGAGAGGGTAAACAAGCAGCCTCTCTGAAAGTACAAGAGGATGTTTTGACTGTTTGCTAATAAACAGCCTGAGCCAGATGTAGAGTGAACAGTCTGATGAAGCCATTCTTTGTGCTGCCTGTGAAATAAAACATGATTTGTTTTGGCATAGATCCAGTTAATGCCACACGTTGAGGGCATCTGGTATGATAAGGCAGGGAAACAAAGAAATGTTAACTTGCATGTTTTGTGATTTTTTTTTTTCCAGTGGACATAGAGTGCTTGAAACTCTCCAAAAAAAAAAAAAAAAAAAAAAAAAAAAAAAAAAAAAAAAAAAAAAAAAAAAAAAAAAAAAAAAAAAAAAAAAAAAAAAAAAAAAAAAAAAAAAAAAAAAAAAAAAAAAAAAAAAAAAAAAAAAAAGACAAGGCAGAGAATGGAGTTGGTTTGAAAAACAAATTAAAAAACTACAAAGCTCTCCAGTCAAAGACCAAACCAAACATGCATTTGGGGTTTTTTTTAAGCTTTTGCAGAGTCACCTTGTAGCATTTGTTCGCTCTGAAGCCTGTAGGCAGAAAACATTGTTCTTTCTTTTATATTGTTAGTGCATATAATATTTTTTTACCACTTTTACTATATTGTATCAAAAAAAAAGGGCACTATTGTATTTCTTTACATAACAACAGTATCCTTTTCAGAACCTGTATAAAAGAGCTATGATGAGAGAAAATATTTGTTCTTCTGGCTGATCATGTGAACTGAATTATACACTACGGATTATATAATTTAGTATTAATTTTAGATAATCTGTTTATGCTGCATGTTCATTCTTGATAATGCATAGGCATTGTGATAATAATGGAATAATAGTTTGAAAGAATATAAGAATTATTACACCAAGTAAGAAGATATGGGTTCCACTAAACAGAAACACAAAAAAAATAAAAACAACCAAGGGAAAATTATTTGATTGAATGAGTATTCAGAAATAATCACTGATATCAGCAAGTATGTTGTGACAACACACTGACAAATAAAACTTTCGTGTTCATGTTTCAGCATTTCAGGGAACACCTCGACAAACTTTTTGCAAAAGGAATTGGAATGTTGGACATTGCTTTAAATGAAGCTTTCAACATGCTCAATGAAGTAAGTTCATGTTTTTCAGATTTACGCTGGGGTCACCTTTCTTGCTGTTTAGCAATTTCAGTTTTAAAATAATAAATAAGAACTCAAAAATGTGATGGTAGTAGTATATTACTTATAGAGCAAGAATTCTAGATAATCTATACGTGGTGGAATATATAAACAAATGTACCTTTTTATATGTGTATGTTTTAAGTTGATGTATTTTGTCTCTCTATATACACATATACATACATGTGTCATAGTCATAACTCATGAATTAATAGATTATAGAATAAACATTGAGCTGACCAAAAAGTATTTTTAGAAACTTTATTATTATCACTCATATTTTACCTGTGTTCGGGGAAGAAAAATGTCAGTCAAAATACAGGTAGCTTATCCCTTTTTTCCTTTTTGTTTCTTTTTTCTTTTTTTTCCTCCACCCCCCTTCCCCCTCTTCTTAAGTATAATCAGTTATTTGGGGGCAAAAATATTAAAATCTGTTAGTCTTCTGGAAGTTGAAAAATCTCATCTAAACTAAGTAGCAAACTGTCTTTTGACTGAAGGATGTACCTTGCAAAGCAGACCTTACACCAGAATAGTCTCCAGAGGGTTTTTCTTGACAAGTCTGCCTGCATTTACACTGTACGTTTATAGAATAATTAATGGTTCTAATGCCTTTGCATTCATCTTGAAGGACAATATTGATCAATTCCTCTCCAGGCATAAAATTCTCAAATGAAAAAAGGAGGATTTTCTTCCACTCACTGCTTGTGAGTTCAGCCAGACAGTGTGGAACTAATGCCTTCATGTGGTGCATGCCAAAAATGGCACTGGGAAAAGGCACATCAAGTAAAGAATACTCCAGGTTAATTTAGAGATTTTATTGAGAATTGTGGGTACCAAGTATAGTCTTAGGAACCAGAAACACAGCAGTAAATAGCAGCAAGCCTCAATGTAAGAGTTGTTCTGTGCTGGTCTCCCAAATCTGGGTAAACTGGAAAAAACCCCACATTATAGACAGTTATCAAGAGTACATGAAATGAGAAATATTTTGTTTTATGTTGTTTTAAAATCTGTGAGGCAACTGAAGTTATAACAATAAATGTGGTATAAAGATCTCGTTAGATAAACTGATAGTTTTGAGAGCAAGGGGAACTGGCGTCCCTTGTACTGAATTGGACCCATGAGAGAGATCTGTAAGGTCATGATGTGTCATGCTACACGTGTGTTCAGATCTATACAAGGTGGTATATTGATTTCTATTTATACTATATAAAAGGAAGTGTAGTAGGTTCAAGCCTTCTTGCATGTAAACTTTCAGAAACGTCAGCATAAAAATCTTTTTCCTCGTACACAGGCATATCAACAAAGTCTCTGGGAGTTTCTGCTATGCAGCCTTGCCTAGAAAAAAAGCTACTTAATCTTTCCTTACGAGAGCACAGCAAACCATTTCCCACTTTTTTTTCTACAGGATGTGACCTTCATATGTCAGAAATCTATTCTTGTAAAGTACAGGTTAGCTAAGGATGTCTTTTCTAAATTAAAAAAAAAAAAAAAAAGAAGTAGGAAGAGGGGGCAGGTGGGAAAGGAAAACAAAGGAGAAAGCTTTGTGTTACACAAATAGTCTATTAAGATTCTGGTAGGATTTTAGAACGGTTCAGGGGTTACACTAATTAAACTCAGTTAATTTTCCCTTGCAATTACCTTTCAGTATTTGCTATGGTTGTTAAGATTTGAAGATGGTTGATACTGATGTCTTTGAAAAGCATGTTTAAAGATCCACTTTCAAATTCTTTCCCATCATCAGTTTGTGCAGTGTACATTATACAGTGGAAGGATGCAGAAGTGCTCGGTACAGTAGTCAGGTCCCTACTATGTCATATGACAACTACAATTATCCCTTTTGGTGACAAATGCACTCTTTGCTGTGATTACCTTTAAAAAAATCATAACCAATTAAATAAAATTCAGTGACATTTCAAAGACTGTTAATCACAACCAAATGCAGTAAATGTCAGGATGCACTGAAATTTTTTCAGCTAACTGATGAATCACTGACTTAATTGTAGTTCGTCATAAGGCCCTTGTCATTGTTATTATTTTGGAAAACATTTTCATCACTCTTGCTATTCAATAAAATTAAAGTTTTAGACAAATATGAGAAGATATTACTCATCAAAGTATTTGAATTTAATCTCATTCTTCAAAATATTCAGATAAGTATGTAGAATAATGCAGATGCACACAGAGTGATGTTTTAAAATAAATGTATGAAGGCATTCCCCCCTCAATAATTTTTCCTTTAAGATACCTTGTCACTTTCCAAATACATTGTCCCTGGGAAGAACATACCCCTCCACAAAGCACCTTCATCTTTATGAGAAAATATCAAATCTAAGATCGTGAAGGAATCCCACTTTAAAATTTCTAGTTCTAGTTAAGACTGGAAAAACTGCCATGAGTGAAGAATTTTGTGGATAGTCTGCCCTGCAAGCATCACAGATAAGGGTTTTCAACCAGCCACTGACCAGATTGTACCTAAACACACATTAGTTGCCCATTAAGAAATATTTTGCTGAGATTCATTTTTGATCAAAAAGAAACTGATCCGAGGGAGAAATGCAGGTGATAGAAATGATTGTTCAATGTGGGTGTGATTACTCAGATACAGAAATGTGAAGGCAGAAGAAAAGAGGACAGAGCGCTGCTGGAACCCACCATCCACCCTTTTCTACTGCAGGCTTTTCTACAGAGATGAAATTTTTAGAAGTTCAGAACTTATTTTTAGAAAAAATGGCTTTTAGAGTTTTGGAAGAACAGTTAATATATAAGGGTGAGTAAACTATAAAAAGCTTAAAGACAGAAGAGTTGCTATACCAAATCAGATCAGAATAATCCGAATAATTTTTGATGAATACAGAAATGGTCAGAGTCCCTGCAAGGTAATTCATCTTTAAATGTACTGCTTCTTAAATAGGACCACCTTATTTTGGGCCACAGCCAGGCTGGTAAGATGGGACAAAGTAATTGTTGCTTGGTTTTCTCAACATCAAGAGAAAGGGTATAGGATGAGGCCTTGAGCTCATCCTATAGGATGAGGCCTGATCTCAAATTTGATAATGCACATGAAAACTACATGGGAAGAGAATAAAAGGAGATTGTTCTTTCATTAGTATGTGTTTAACTTCTAGCCCAGTCTATAGAGTTGTTTGTAATATCCCAGTTCATTGATCTTTTCATGTATATTTTTAAAGTATTCATACATAACAATTTAAAATCAAATAATTTTCCAATCTTGCTTTTCTTTTTTACTAAAAGCCAGATGTTTCACTGAGGTTCATTAAACATATAAGTACACAGAAAAAATAAGAACCTATTCCATAACCGAAACAAATGGAGACAATGGATTCAAAATCAGAGCACCAGCTCCAGAATCAAGAGATCAAAGCTCATGTTATGACTCAGTCCAATGTGCTTGCTCTTTGACAGGAGAAAATCTCATTTGTATAATGATGACATTTCCATTGCATAGGCCAAAGGATACGTTAATTGCTGTCTAAGTACCTGTGCTCAAGTGCTGCTGTTTAGGAGCTTGAATTGCTTATATATATTACTTTTGAGTAGAGGGAGAATCTCAAAATATATAAATAAGAACTTGGTTCTCCCAAATAAATATTTTATGGAAAATAACGTGTAGAATGGAATCCTGAGTGACTCTGAATGCCATATGAGTAGTCAAATGTCTCTCTACGAATTGTGTATCCTCTTTACTTTGCAGAAAAATCATCACTCATTTATTACTTCTTTTTTAACTCGTTCTTTTAAAACGACATTTAAGTCAAACCCCATATAGATGCATCAGTACTTATTATCTACCTAAAACAGGGGAATACAGTTTCAATTTGGGGAAGTGATGTATTCGTGTATGTTTCTTATTTTTCAATTCAGTAAGAACATAATGTCTATGATAAACTGTTTTCAGCCTGAATAATTTCATCTACTACTTATAATACTAGGGATTTCACAAAATACATGTTTATTCAGTGTGATCCCATCTATCTTCATTTAACAGGAATGTGCTGTACCTCACGATTGTTTCCTTTCACAGTTCAATCACACAGGACAAGGAAGCATTTGCAGCCAAGCCATAATGTTGATCACTGATGGGGCTGTGGACACCTATGATACAATATTTGCAAAATATAATTGGCCAGACAGAAAAGTAAGTATGTTATCACCTTTATTCAATGGAAAACCTGACACTTCCTATCCGATATAAAGAGCGTGTCTATTGAAAAGTCAATTTCTAACAATGACAAAAGTCATTTCTAACAATCTAAAAATGATTTTGGATAAGTGGATGTTTCACTAATGACAAAAATGATGTTTATATGATATTGCTGGAGGATAGAGATGGCCTTTTACTGTAGTAATGAACTTGGGTTCATAAGATATTTAGGCACTATTTCTCTCTAGAGTACGTTTTTGAGCATTATGTAATCCTTCCCCTGTGAGACATCATTAAACAAGAAAATTTTCTCCTTTCTCCCAAAATACACATTAATAATGCAGTACTTTTTCAAACTAAAGATAGGTAGGTACTGTGGACAGTGACTGACTAGAGAAAGAGCAGATGTAGTACTCCATATTTTTAATTTATTTGTCTGAGGGAGGCATAGAGCCGGCAATTGGTAAGATTTTATAAAAAATTTATTTGCTTCTGTTGGTCTGTATAAAGAAATTTGCCCAGAACTAACTTTCCTTGTTATATAAGATGTGGAAATTTTGCAGTAGTGCAGAAACACCCTTTTCGATGAAGAAGTTCTAGTAGGCCTTGTATCTGTATGTGAAATAATTTCCTCCTACACTTTATCTTCTGCTAAACCAAGTTTTTGAACTATTTTAGGAAGCTTTCGTAATTTGAGATACCTGCCATGTTACGTGCAACAACCAACTCCTTGAAGTTCAATTTGAGCAAGTAATCAATTAATCTCAGTGTGCTACATGAAGGTTCTGTATTTTGTTGAAAAAAAAAAAACAAAAACAAAAAAAACCCGCAGTAGTTTTAATTGTAGCTTTTAACTCTGCTTCTCTTTTATAAAGTTCTGTTTGTTTTCTGTTCTCTCTTCTCTTGTGTACCTGAACTAAACCTCATCTATTAGCAATTAATGAGCAAGAGAAAATGGGAAATTGGTGACTTCTTTTTACTGGTCTTCTAAAAATGTTATGCTAATTACTGTCATTTTGTGGAGTAAAAATTACGTGCAACCTTTCTGTTTTCTGTTGGGTAAGAGGTTTTTATTCAGAGAATGTAGAGTACTGACTAATTGCAATCTGAAGATCTATTTTGCTCTTCAGATACTTTGCTAGTTCCTCTTATGTAACTTTACTCTCTAAAAGGAGAAAGTTCTTTCTTTTTTTTTTTTTTTTTTGTGATTTTATCAGGATGTGCCAGGAAAAATGTTATCTTTGAAAGAATGCAAGGATACCTTGGTATTTCTGCATTTTCTGAGGAGACCTGTAATACTTTTTGTGTGAATTGATGTTCGTAGAAATGCTGATAGCAATTTAGTCCACATAGATTTCTTAAATCCTTCTTTGTATTCATACTTATTTCTGAATGTTTTCATTCAGAGAATGAAACAAGTCAACTATAACCTGATTGTGAAATTACTGTTTTAATAGCTGCATGTTCAGATCAGAAATGTTTATAAACAGCAAACAAAAATTTTTCATCTTTCTTTTTTGAGTAATTTCTAGATGTTTGCACACACTTTTATCCATATTGAAATGGTCTGAGAATTTCAGCTACAGGCTTCAGAATTTACTCTTAATACTTTAGTCAGTTAAATCTTGTAGTGGTTCAGGATTTCCATGATCAAGTGATGTATGAAGAATTTTCATTAAGCAATATACAAATGTAAAGAAATAAAATTTAAACAAATTAAATAGAGCATATGAGCAATATGACTAAATCTAAAGCATCTTTGGAATTGCAATCAGTATTTCTGGCACCTTCTCGATCCTAACAACTTTATCTCTTTTCCAGTTTTATTTATGATTGTGTGACTGTTAGCTGTTTTATGAAAACACAGTGTTGTCCCACTGGGAGGGGGGCTTAAAAGTTAAAGTCTTAAGGCCAGTCCTTCTGCTCTTATTCAGTGGGATACTGTCTAATCAAAGTTGTTAAGTCCTCAAATGTTCCATGAGAACATTTTGCTTTATCTATCAAACACTGATGTCTAAGGAGATTCACAGAATCTCTCAGTAGGATGTGCCTCTGATGTGTTGCATTTTCTTATAAGATGAAGTTGGTTCCTCTCTTAAGAAGAGACCATGGGGAGACTCCTCTCTATCATAAGAAATCAGTAAGGAAGGAATTCTCTGAAACAGTCAGCTGAGTTATTTTCAGAAAACCATGTGTTGTATATCTTTCATGTGCAAATCCATGGCTATATCTGAGATAACAATACTCAGCACAGCTGTTGCAATAAGCAGCAGGACAGGTTTCCCTTGGGGAATATTTCTGCAAAGGCCTAGCGGGAAGAATCCTACCTTGTTTAGCAAGGACATGGTGTTTAGGGAGCAGCTTTTAGTTCATGTGCAATATTCTACATGGCTCTATAAAAATATTTAATGTATTAATACAGCCTTCTAAGTTGTGTATTAGAAAATATGCAGGGGAAAAAAAAATCAAATCACTTTGTCGTCTCTTCAGCCTGAAATGTTTCTGTATGGAAAATGTAAAAGATTTCCATATGTGTGCTTTAATGCATTAGAGCTTTCAATGTTTTTATAGGATTTGTTGTTCTAGAAAGAAAGACTCAAAATGCAATGGCCTACATATTCCTACATATTGGCAATTTCAGTGTGTCTAAAAATTATGTATCCTGTGCACTTCACGTTCACTGCTTTTGCATTACACCATCGTTATTCTCTCCAAAGCATTTTTTTTGTATTTATAAGTCACACCTTTGAACTGCTTAACAGGTTTTTTTAGTCACATTTTTTTGTTCTCTAATAATCAATGTATTGCCTTTTCATCTTTCTTATAATTTATATTTTTCCTTCATTTTGATACTGGGGTGGACAGTGATGGAAAAGGTAATAGCTCCTACTTGAGGTAAGTTATTAAGTTTCTGTTTACCTCAATTACCCTGTCAGCAAAGTACCAGTTCCAGTTATAAATTATCTAATGTTGGATAATATTAGGTATGTTATCATTAGTTGCAACAGAAGCATCTTCTCTTATAGAAAGGAAGAAATTCTTCATATAACTCTGAAGGCTTTACTAGTTTGTTGATGACAATCTTTAAAAATGAAGAGTGAAATAAACTTTCAGGATGGAAATATCAATTCATATTTTCTTCCTTTTCCCAAACCATTTATATCTCTGTAAAAGATAATATTAAAAACAAACAAACAAAAAATTCCCAACTATGTAAACAGGGATAGGAGCATTTTATTACATAGTATTGTAGATGTATTCTACCTGAAAATTGATTAAAAATCATCTTCCTTCTGATAAGGCATTAAATAAAAATTTTGTTGCAATGATTTTTAAAAGGAATAATATCATCCTGTTAAATCACCAGAGTAGCTTAAATGAGTCAATTGGGTTTTTGGGGGTGAAATCAGCTTGATTTTGTGTATGAGCTAGAGACTTATTACCATCAAAAAACTATTTAAAATTATCTTTTGGACTGTTTCCTTGAAAGAAGAAATGCTTTCATTTTACTGATTTTTTTTAATGAGTCTCTATCTCCCTCAGCAAAAAAACCCATTTCTCCATGTTTTCCTAATATCTTCTGCTACTTAAAATGTAAATCTAGTAGAAGCTGTTTTTATAACATACTATATTTTATTTACATGGCCAAGTCTCTAAGTTGGTAATGTTTATTTCCTTAAGGAGCTGATGCTCACACATTATAGATGAGTTTGTGTTGTTTACATAATTTTTCTCATTCACGAAACTTAGATTCAGTAAACTCGTGTAATTCATTCATGGCAACTCTGTCACATGAAATACCAGAAAGAGAACAATAATCTGCAAGAGTAAAGACATCTACACTGACATATAAAAGCCCAGATTTTTTACATGTAGCAGAAATAAATATTTAAAAAGAATAGTACAAGAAAGTGTTTGTTTACAATTATAGCTGAAATATAGTTGCAATAGTTTTATTTTTTAAGGTCCTTTTTCAGGAGAAAGCCTTTTAAGTCTCAAAAAATCTTTTTTGAGCTCAGTTGTAACAGAGTCGTGCTTTTACTCTATATTATTTCTTCTGCTATTATATCCAAATGTAGTACTAGAAACAAGCAAAATACCTTCGATATTTCATTAAGTACCTTATTCTAATTTAAAAGGATGAAAAGACATGAAGGGGGGACGCAGGCAGACAGATAGACTTGACTACAGGACAAGATTACCCCTCACGTTTGGTCCCAGAAAGTAGTACCACTAATTTCTTTTCTTAAATAACACAGTCCTAGTTCCTCCCTGTTGGAAAATTCCAGCAAGTAGCTAGTGGAAAGTTCAAGGAAGATTAATCTTGCAATTGTTGCTGAAATGCTGTAGCACATAAAAAAAATAAATTATAGTGAGATCAGAGATATTCCAAAGCTTCAAGCTCTGTCATGTTCTCAGTTGAAAACCATTTTAGTCGCTAATTGAAAATTAGTCAACTTTGAAGAGAAAGTGTCTACGTAAATATTATTTTACATATTTTGACATTTTACATATAGCAAGACTCTTCTCAGTATGTTGTAATATTGCAAAGGAAAATAATACAGTAAATCCAGTTGTATAAATGTATCAGGAAACACTTTAAACCCCTATTGACTCACAACAACTTCATGAATCTTATTTTCTTATGATCCTGTTTCTCCACTGGGCTAAAAAGACCCAGTGCCTCCGCATATTGCAGGTTTTTTTCTCTCCTCTGTTTCCCCACTGTTTTTGTGTGACTCTCAAGTTCTGTACCTCTACAAAGCCTGTCTACTCGCTGTTTTGGGGAAGCCCAAAATCATTTTTTCCATAACCATGATTCAGAGCAGAGTCTGAAATCACACTGAGATCAAGGGGAAATAAGTACGTATTTCAGTTTGGATACAGTCTTCTAGCATTCCTGTTTCATATGGGTTGATGCAGCATTTAGGTGGTCAAGGAAGATGTCAACTTTCTGACCTTTTATGACTTACATCATCCAGAAATAGACGTTC